ATAAAAAATGTAAAAAAATGAAAAACAAAAAACATAGAAAATATGAAAAATATGAAAAATATGAAAAAATAAAATATAAGAAAATAGAAAATAAAAAATGTAAAAAATGTAAAAAATATAAAAAAAGTAAAAAAAAAGTAAAAAAAATGTAAAAAATTTAGAAAATATAAAAAACATAAAAAATGTCAAAAAATATGAAAAATATGAAAAATACGAAAAATATGAAAAAAAATGTAAAAAATACGTGAGGAGCCCCTTTATTTTCTGACACCACTAATAAATAGCCAGAACCGTTTTGCATATCATCAGCAATATCTCATTTTCACCTCACAGATATCAGTATGCTTTGGGGTAGGTTTGATTTAACTGCGTTTAAATGACTTTGAAAACCCAGTTTTACTGGCCTGAACTCGCGTCGGTTGCCTTAGGGCAAGTGGGTGTGTACTACCTTGAACCTTTAGCGAGGACAGATGATGCCATCTTGGAAAACCTGTGCTACTTAGTTTGGCCACGCAGAACGATTAAAAAAAAGATACTCATCGTAGCACACGGGGTGTGAAGAAAGGCCATCATATAAACATTACATGGGATAGAACAGCGAAGTTCATTATTCGCAACCACTTGTTTAACACCCAGCTTCAGTACACAGTGAACCAGTCATAATTGTCATGACGAAGACGACAGACCGTCGGGTCTTGTTATAAACAACTGGTTGTGAATAAAAAGAAGAACTGACTACTCTGTCATTCAATCCTTCACCAACCTGATTAAATCATTTACGGATTACCAAGGAGACTTCGTGGGGTCGTGTGGCGTAACGTCAGAGCATTTGGCTCAGAACCAAGAGGTCCTGGGTTCGAATCCTGCCATGTCACCAACCTTGTGCCCTTGGGAAATGCACTTCGCTCAGGTATGAATCGGTATGCAAGAATGATCATTATCGTGATCGTGGGCATTGAAGTCAAACCCTTCAGACATAGTTTTAGGCATAGCTATGGATTTAGACAACTACCTTCATCACGTAGATTTTAGCTATTTTATACTCTGTTTCAATGTTGTTTTATGTTTGTAATTTGCAATTAGCCTACGGGCATGAATTTGCAATAAACTTCTCATTAAAAGAAAAAGAAACAAAAACCAACTTCATGCACTGTGATGGAAGAACACGAACTCGCAATGGCCTGGTACAACTATAGATTCAAACTAGGAGGTCCCGGGTTCGAATCCTGCCATGTCACCAACGTTGTGCCCTTGGGAAAATCGCTTCGCTAAGGTATTAAGCAGTATTCCAGTATGATCATTATCGTGATCGTGGGCATTAAAGGAAAAACCAAGAAAACACAAACTTCATGAACACATACGCCACGGCCGATACAACTATAGATTCAAACAAACGACGCCATTTATTGTACAAGCTATAGCGTACCGCCAAGTCCCGGTAATGCAGAAAGAGTAGCCGTATCAAACAGCCTGGCAGGGTTCACCTCAAGCGGCGCATCAGACTCCACGTGTAGCGTTCCTGATGGGCGATTCTAATAGTCAGGGTTCCTTCAATTTGGTGCGTTTCCTCCGTGGCCTTTCATGCATGTCCGGTTCCATTAGGAGTCTGCTTTACCTACTCCATTTCGCCGTATATATGGCCGCGTCTCAATCGTGCCTTTCATGAAAATGCTATACCCTGCCCACGCCTTATATTAATACGTACTGTTTGATAGAAAATATACTGTACATGCACAGAACATTAAGACGTGAAATACATCTCCGCTAAAATGAGACGATACGCTAAGTTTACTCGCCTACGCCGTAATGTAAAAGAACAATGGTCGATGTCAGGAATGTCAGCCGCTATGTCTTAAGACATATATCTCCAGAATGCGTCTTAAAGAACATAATCTTCAGGTGGGAAGATAAAGCGTACCGCACATCAGTCATAAGGACTATCGCCTGCAACAAGGCGCGACTGAAACATATCTCGATCGACACACCTTTGTTCGCGTATCGCGAAGGTTGGGATCCGTCGGGGGCTTGCATAGCGTCGGTCGAAGGTTCAGCCACGATCTATCGATATCCTAGAAGGTCAAGTGCGACGAAGACGTATCTCATATCCGTCTTTAAGACTCCTTCTGTTCGAAGCCACTTAATCTGTACACGGGGGACGACTTGACGTTGACGTATGATAGTGGTAAATCCAAAATCCAACAGTAGAAGCCGCGGAACGCTCACGTCTTGTAGAATTCTTACAGTGTTCTTCTGGTCTCTACTGTTGTGAAGTGAGGGTCCTCAGTACGTTCTGTAGAGTATGAAGCCGGAGAAGGTCCTAAACTTGTCCTGGACTTGACGGTGTGACGTCTGCTAGTGGTACATCCAACAGTATACGCCACGGAACGTCTTGTAGAATTCTTTCACTGTTCTCCTTCTGGTCTCTACTGACTGTGATTTGGGGACGGTCTTCAGTAGGTTCTGTAGAGTAGGAACCCGGAGAAGGTGCTGAACTTGTCCTGACTGCCGTACAGGGTGTGATCCTTGCGCAGTCTGATCCACACCCTGTCGCCCCGCTTGAGGCTGAGGACCAGCGAGTTGCTGCCGGTGTCGCTGTGACTGTCGTCGAACGCGATGGCGGAGGTCTGCTGGGCGCCGTTCAGCATCAGGTCCGCCCACATGCCGTCGCGGTACCGCGGCTTCAGCACGTGGAACGTGAAGTAGTACCAGCCGCCCAGCTTGCACGTGAAGGCGCCCGTGGCCCTGTCGTACCCGTCGCCGACGTTGGAGAAGACGTGGTCGAAGATGACGGCGGTGTCCTCCGTGGCGAAGACGTCTGTCGTCACGGCGACGGAGAACCCGGCCCACATGTCCTCCTGCGTCCCCGCCGGCAGCCACGACAGCGCGTCTGCCGACTTACTCCCCAGCGGGTTGTCCGAGTACAAGCAGCAGTCCATCCCCGTGGTCGGGGGTTTACCGTAGCCTCCCTTGTCTCCCTTCGGGCCGGGAGGGCCTGGCGGCCCGGGGGGACCGGGTGGACCCGGCGATCCTTTCGGGCCCCTCGGCCCGGGTCTGCCCGTAAGGCCGCGCTCGCCTCTAGCGCCAGGCTTGCCCGGTTCCCCGATGATGGGCAGCGCCACCGCCTCGGGTGCGTCCGCCGCTCGCGTCTGGCACGCGATGCTACACGTTGGCAAACCGTCCGCCGTTTTCTTCTGCTGTAGATCCTGCTGCGACCCCGCTAATATTGGCATCACCGCGAGCAGCAGCCCCACGTACTTCAGAAGCAGCCACCCCATCTTCTCTCACCCCTCCGGTGTGTCTTAAGTCGTCTCAAGTCTTTCCGCTCCGCCGAGCATCGGCTGCAAGGAGTTTCACTGTCTCCGCGTCCAAAAGCAGCCGCATCGAGGAGCCAGGAGGGCGTGAATGGTCTTTCCGTGTATCGACTTGATTATTTAATGCCGGGGTGACAATTTGGGAGTCCGTAAGCACACCTTGCTAATTGGGCGCGCGAAAGCGTTTTTGGACCATAACGTCGCATTGAATTACAATATCGCACGCGAAACCCACGGACCCCCCGGGGAATACCAAATTGGCGGAAAACCGTCACAATGAGCGCACCTGGACGCGTTTAGCGCAATTTCTCCACACACTTCAACCAACACAAAGAGAAAAAAAAGCGATCGCTCACGATTTACAGCGATCACCGCCGTATCAACAACGTTAATGTTTTCTCATCTCATGTTGTAACGGCGGTGCGAAATTTACTTTCCGAAGATATACATCAGCTTCTACCCGGCCGCGCGGCTGCGCCCGCCTCTCAGCGAGGCAGCCGTAACATCTGGGCCCCCATACGTCTTCATTACGGCCCGATAGTGAAATCCCGCCATCTCCCCTGACCCGTAAGCTCTTTGATGGGGAGCTAAAGCCCGCCTGCTTCTGCGTTGACACATTAGAGGAGCTCTCATCACAGTAACGTTACAATGTACGTTGCGGCTGACGCTAAGGAAGGTATAAACTCGTACCTGGGACGTCAGCCTTTTCTACATACGTCTGTTCAAGGGACAAAAAATAATAATTCTGTTCCTGTACCTATTTGATATTTTTGTCGTACCAATTTGGTATATTTATCTTGTGTTGTAATCATTATTTTGTTTCTGCGTTGACACATTAGAGCATCTCTCTTCACAGTAACGTTGGGACTAATTAATGTTAAAGGTGCACAATGCAGGTTTTAGGACATGACAAACATATTTGTTTCCAATATTCTAGTCACTTATGTACATAGTAAGTTGAAACAATAATGTCCCGATGTATATCGACATTCATAGAGCAAAAATGCCAAAATTCTGGTGGAAAACGGTTACTAGTAGGATCCTGGGCTGATTTTTGGGGTACCACCCTGAAAACAGAGGACTCATCTTTGGGCTTTCTGCGTTTTTTTAGATGCCCAAAATATGATGCAAATGTGTTAATGTGGCAGAGTCACTTGGTAAGTCGTACATTTATATGTTCTTAACGATGCCTCCTACATTTGCGTGTGTTCATTCCTTGTTAGTTATGATACTTTCATAGGCTACTGGATCCTTTCCAAAACTGTTTATATTTGTCATTTTTATTCAAGATCATCCCAAGAGTTATGTTCAGAATTCTTATCTTCTTTTGGTTTTATGATACCTTCTATATCTATTTTTAATCACTATCGGTTACCGATTATATAATACGCGATCTTTATTGCTAATGATATCATGGACGTTTTTAACAGAATAATTAATTTTTGTCTTTTGTAATTTCAGATAGCATCTCATACAACTTAAGGGGGCATAATATTATATTTTTTCACAAAAATTGAAATATTTGATTTCAAATAAATCTTCGTCTGATTGTAATTTACTTCTAATTTTCAATACCTTCTTGCAATTTTTCATTGTAACTTACTTCCACTTTTTGATACCTTTTTGCATTTTTTTATGAAATCATACGCACTTACTCATTTTTGTTTGCAATGGCGACTTCTACTGCTAACCAGGTAACCAGCAGAAGGTGCAAAGATTGTATCGGGCCGACTCCTGCCCAAACGTTCCTTGATTTACACGAAAAGAAATCGATGATATAAAACGTCATCTCTATTGCCAATGATATCATATGCTCTTACTCATTTTTGTTCGCAATGGCGATTTTTATTCATACAAAGGATTGTATCGGGCCGACTCCTGCCCAAACGTTCCTTGATTTACGCGAAACAAAATCGATGATATAACAGGCCATCTGAGCATTGCTAGTGTTATCATATGCATACACTTACTCATTTTTGTTTGCAATGGTGATTTCTACTGCTTACCAGGAAGCCCACAGAAGAAATTATCTTCAAAATTCTTACCTTCATTTGGTTTTATGATGCCTTCTATTTCGATGTTTAATCACCAGTAGTATTGGTTACCAATGATATAATTCATTGATAAGAATATCATTTTTGTTTGCACTTTTGATTTCTACTGCTAACCCACAGAAGGTGCAAAGGATCGTATCGAGCCGACTCTTGCCCAAACGTTCCTTGATTTACGGCAAAAGAGATCGATGTGTACATACTTTATGTGCAGTGCATGCCGTCTCGCTGTTCCCTGCGTGTCGTGTTTTATATCACGGCATCGCGGCGGGCGAGGTTACAACTTTCAACTCGGGATATCGTCCTACGGAAACGTCAATCAAACCAGCGGGCGGCGCCCTGTGATGAGGAATAAGAAGAAGAACTTTATTGCACGACAATTGCACAGGGTACAATGTATGGCAAACTTACATAAAGAGAGTAACAAACAATAAAAATATATATAAATAAATGTTGGATAAGACCTAATGTCGAATAAAACCTAACATATCTTAATTATTCAAACAGTAAGGGCTATAATAAGTAAGACCCCCGTTCCACTTAGTCGCAAAGAGAGCGCAGTGAGAGCGCCGAGGTCGTCATGTTTTGTATCTAAATTAATGTTGAGGCCGTTGTGAGCTCTCATGGCGCTCGCTTCGCGCTCTGACGCCGCGGCGCTCTGACGGCGATCATTGTTGAATCGCCGTCCTAGGCGCTCTCACGGCGATGGTATGACCCGGTTCCATACCATCGCCGAGGTGACGGCGCTCATGGCGCTCTCATGGCGACCTTGGCGCTCTCTCCGCGCTCTGGCCAATTTCAGGTCGCAGAGAGAGCGCCGTGAGAGCGCCGTCAAACTGAATGGTGGTATAAGCAACGATATAAAAGCGGGGAAACCTTCCCTTTGAAGCAATCGTAAGGTATTGATTGGCGCGCGGATATATATAAGATGGAAGCTTTCGCTTGTAACTTTTTGACGCGGATAAGATTGATGACGCCATTGTGGCGAGGTAGCGGACCATATTGGTAAAAATCGCGCGGAGCTTATTCCGCCATGATCAGAAACTGCGGTTCAAGATCAAATGCCCATCAGGGGGCGCTGGGTAAAGGGTTGTGAGAGAGCGGCGACTGGAAGTGCGAGAGGTCATTAGGCCACACCAATTCAATTTGTTGTTTCTCGGATTTAAGAAAAAAGATATTAAGCGACAGGGCAAAAACAGGGGGCGATGGGTAAAGGGTTGTGAGAGAGCGGCGACTGGAAGTGCGAGAGGTCATTAGGCCACACCAATTTAATTTGTTGTTTCTCGGATTCCGGCATGGCAACAGACATCTCAAAGATGTCTGTTGCCATGCCGGAAGATGGATGGCAGATAACTATGAAGAGAGGAGACTGGAAAAGGCTCTGATTTAATGTTTTGTTTCTTACTTTGATGCAGTGATACGTGATGCTGGCTGTGTATATGTGATGTTCCCACTGAATCAAAACCATTTGTACAATGATTGAGTCAACATTTTAACATGTAGGAACCTCGTTTTTTCGGCCCGCCTTGTTTTTTCTCTCTCTCGATGTCATCCATAAAATTTGCTTGCTGTGGCCTAAAGGGCTATGAGAGAGCGGCGACACGAAGTGTGCGAGGTCATTACCATACCAAAAACTCCCCTCACTCCATTCCCAACGATCTAACGGTGCCAAATTGCACCAGGAAATAAAAACAGCCGTAAAGATGACCCACTTTAGCGCTCTCTTCTCCGTAATGGCAGATTCGTTTTCCGCGGGTATCCTTCCCCCCGCTTTCAAGCAAACCGACGGAACCGTAAGGCCATGTTAATTTGATTATATGGATGACATCCTCTGGGAACCCCAAGACTTATGCGCGCGTGCGAGTAAAAAAATGGTTTTGCAAAAAAAAAAAGAAATTACTTTCATCATGAAATCTACGTGGTCATGAAGGTTGAACAAATGACACAGAGTATGGTATGGCGAATAATCTACTCTTCAAATTCTGACCGTTTCCAAAATCATATCCAGTTGCTTGAGTAACTGCTTTTTGGCGTATCTTATTATCTGGATGTCTAACCTTCATCGACGTATCTTAAAATTTATCTCTTTACATTTTCGTCTTTTTTATTTGATTTTGGCATTCTACGACATTGGTATCGTTTTCAAATATTTTTTTCAACTTACGGTATATATTTGCTTGTCTTGTACGATTTACAGCATGGTTGAAAACCCCTTTTTTCTGGAAACGGCCGAAAATTCATGCGCGCATGGATGCCATCCATATAATCAAATCAACATGGCCTAAACAGCATCACAGAGCTCACCTCGAAGTACAGAAATGGATGTTAAGAGTGGATCATTCACCAAACCACATTCTGTGTCATTTGTTCATCCTTCACGAACACGTAGATTTCATAATGAAAGCATTTTTTTGCCAAACCTTTTTTTATTCGCACGCGCGCATCAGTTTTGGGGTTACCAGAGGATGTCATCCATATAATCACATCAACATGGCCCGACCGTCGGGCGGTTTTAAAAGACCAATCAAACCCCTGCCCGTGCCGGGCTGCGCGTCAGGACCATTATCCGAGCACAAGTCGTTTCAAAGTCTTCATAAAAATAAAGAAATAACGACGCGAAGTCGTCAAAATGACGGCCTAACAGCCTCGCCCGCGGAAACGGGTACTAATGCATTGTTAGGGATAGGATTGGAAACAGTTCTAGTTGTCGCGCGAGGCAATTTTACAGCCTTTGGTGCTCGCGGTTGTAACATCTTCTTGGAATGCGTCTGGTGTAAGCCGCGTCTTAAAGAGGGAGAGAAGGCGCGGTCACGTATACTTTAAGATGTGTCTGGATGTTTGAATGGTGTCGGGATCCCTTAGTACAACTGCGTCCAGACGGAGGATACGTAATTTTTTTTCCGAGAGGTATCATATGCCCAGTTTGATGCATCTATCTCTCTCTCTCTCTTTCTCTCCATGTGTATGTAGCTAAGTAGAGGAATAGTTCATATGCCGCATAGTGTAGGGATATATAATGATCAATGTTTATATCAGTTGGTAAATTACGTCGTGAAAATTAAGCTGGTCTCCAAGTGAAAAAAAATTTAGTGGATTTACGTACCTGAATTTGAACCAACTGAATCAACCATCATATTTAGGTATCTGACTTAATCGCTCAGGATACGTGACTTTATGATCGTGTGACGTAACGATGAGTCAAAGGTTGTTGGAAGCCGATATCGTACCCCATCCCACTGGCCTTCTACAACTATCAAGTATATGTGAATAAATACCGCTGATATACATTGTAATATTAGCAGCTTACACTATCAACGTGTCTATCGATGTACGATTCTAGCTGAAGAGGCGCCATCTTCCTTGAAATAGTCCAGTGATATGTTTGCCTCACAACATATAATTTGCATAGGCTAGATAGCGGAAATCAGAGCAGCACTATTTGCGAAAACCCATTCGAGAACCATCGCCATTCCGCGCGTAATTGTACAAAAGTGGGCCCCAAACAAAAAGAAAACCTATCGTCGGGCGCTTCCAGACGCGAGGCATGCTGACAAATGTCTCTGAGACGTGTTATCAAGAACAAAGAAA